CCCCTGAACCCGAGGCTTTGGGGCTGAGGGGTCTTTAGGGTTTTTAGGGTTTAGGGATCTTTAGGGTTTTATGTTTGAGGATTTAGGGTTTAGGGATCTTTAGGGTTTTATGTTTTAGGATTTAGGGTTTGGGGATCTTTAGGGTTTTATGTTTTAGGATTTAGGGTTTAGGGATCTTTAGGATTTAGGGCTTTAGAGTTTAGGGTTTAGGGATCTTTCGGGATTCATGATTTAGGGTGCAAGGAAGAAGCTTCGCCTGCGACGTTCCTGGATGGTTTCAGGCAGTTTGGGGTTTGGGGTCCTACTTGGAGGTTCATGGGTAGTTATAAGTAGGGTTATAAGTCCCCTAAGTAGGGTCATAAGTATAGTTACCCTACTTATAACGACCCATGAAGCTCCAAGTAGACCCTAAACCCAAACCCTAAACCCTGAACGCTGAACCCTAAACCCTACCCATGTAGGCACGGTGATAGGAGAGGGAAGACTCGAGCTCGAAGCGGAAACGAAGAGCCTCCAAGCTCGAGCCTGACCTGCAAACCACTCAACTCGAAACCTGTGTGGAAACCCTGCAAAGCTATCGGGCTTAGGGTTTAGGGATTTTAGGGTTTAGGGTTTAGGGTTTTACGGTTTAGAGGGCTAGAGCGCGACCCCGTGCACTTCTCTGCAAAATTATCCTTCTAGGGCCAGCCTAAACTCCGCATCTCCTTACACACTTGCTGCAACGTCTTCAACTAGGTTCCCCAGTAGTACCCTTTTGGACCTTTTTGTTTGGGGGTCTCCTTATTAAAACCGAGTATTAGGAAAAAATCTACCCCTAGACCAGGATTTCACGAAGGAAGTGAAGGCACGTGCACTAGGGGCAGCCCACCAGGCGCCTGCAGCATTGCTTTGAAGATCCTTTTAGGGTTTAGGGTTTAGGGGTTTAGGGCTTAGGGGTTTAGGGTTTAGGGGCTTAGGGGTTTAGGGTTTAAATTTTAGGAGCTTAGGCTGAAGGCATTTAATTAAGATTTGGAACTCTGAGGGTACATTGTTCGATTGGGTCTTACCATCCAGGGCACTGTTCGCTTTTTCATTATGTTACGTAGCAGTATGCCAGGGCATGAGGTTGGGCACTTTGCGCAGGTGCTTGTAGACGTTTCGTAGACACGTAGAATTTATCTCGTCAGGGCAGATGTAGCTTCCATACGCGAGTGCAGGGGCAGAGATCTGTGGGGGTTTCCATAGCGGGGCGGATGCCGATGTCAGGTTTGTGTTGTCTGGTATCCCAGGACTGACGAGGCTGAAGATGTAAGGTTGCAAGTTTGGGGCTTTCAGGTTTGGCGTGTCTTTTTAGGTCTTAGACCTGAGCCGTAATTAACAGAAACTGTGACATGGGGTTCGATTAAAACTCCACGATGTTGTGGGAGGCGATGCTCTCGCCAAAGGCGCATATAAGCTAGGTTTACCAGGGTTCAAGCTGCAGAGCCCCCAGGAAACCATACTAGGGTTCACGGTTCAGGGTTCAGGTTTAAGGTTTCGTAAGTGCCTAAACCTTAAACCCTATAAACAAAGTGTTGCTTATTTGGAAGCTTCACCTCGACGACACAGAGCCCAAAACCAGCAGCTGCAGCAAGTAGTGCTTCCATAACGCGAAGCCCGTGCAGCTGTAGTGTATTGAAAGCCAGATACTACTTGAGATCCAGTCAATCGTATTCAATCTGTTCGTTGGAGTCCACAGATTCTCGAAGCCTTGCATTAGACAGCCATTTCGTTGGTAAGATCAAACCATGAGGCCTCAAACCCTGAAACGACCCAACAAATTCCAGGAATTTTCTATGAGCCCCTATAACTTGCTACGCTTGCAGCAGGAGTTGGCTGGAAAAGAGCTCTATGTGAGTTCCAGCGACGAGGATTCGTCGGGGCCTCTGTTGCATCTGGGATTGTCGTCTGCATACTCTAATCCAAGGACTCCAGGTCTACTCGGGTGTCTCATCTATATGTCGTGGCTATGGCGGGGTGTGTAAAGTGATGTTTCAAACAGAAAAAACGGAGCTTCAAACTTTGGAGGCGTTGAGGCTCGGTGCTGATAATACACGCCATGTCAATCATATGGGAGTTTCCGAAAATTAGGGGTACCCTATTTTGGGTCCTTTATAATAAGGAACCTACTATTTAGGGTACTACATTGGGGTCCCCTATTTTAGGAAGCCCCGAATATAAACATATGTACGAATAAGCCTTTGCCTCAGGCGTGGAAGTCCCAGATCTCTTGACATCCAGGGTCTGGATTTCGGGAACTATCCGCTGATCCGCAATACTGCAGGTGCCTGAACAACCAGTAAATGCAGCCCTCGAACCTAGGACACACTAGAAACAGTTCCCTCAACCTAGCATGAGGCCTAGGGCTTTTGTCAAAGATCGTTGCTTAATAGGTGAGTGAGAGCTGGATGATGCTGTATGTGTCCGGCCCTAAGGGAGCAAAAAATACTCTGTGTGTGTGTATATATATATACATATATAATTATATACAGACACATACATATATAGGGTGTTGTATAAGCGGCTTTAAGCGACACGAGCCAGATGATTTGACAGGTTCGGAGCGTGAGCCAGGTAACGTTGGGAGTTCGTTCAGTTGCTCTTTCAACTTACGGGGGTTTCCAATATAATGGGTGTTGTATAAGCGGCTTTAAGCGACACGAGCCAGATGATTTGACAGGTTCGGAGTGTGAGCCAGGTAACGTTGGGAGTTCGTTCAGTTGCTCTTTCAACTTACGGGGGTTTCCAATATAGTACCATAAACAGAAGGATCCTTATTATGAGGACCCCAAATTAAGGTACCCCTTATTTACGGAAACTCCCTTACATGTCGTAGGGGGTTCCGACTCGGCGAGTCAACATTACTGCCGAGGCCTTTCTGACAAGAAGATGGCAAATGCGTACGAAGTACGCGAAGGGTGCAAGACCGCATGACACGTCCTTTTGAAGGCTGTAACGGGACGTAACTGCCCTGAGCCCTAAGCCCTGACATAACACAATACACTTAGGGAGCCGAAAGTTTCGAAGCTCTCGCTTTAACTCAACGCACCCCCCACCACGCATACCAGGCCCAGCAAGCCCATGTCAAGTCGGTTCTAAGAACAGCCAGAATATGCCGCGCAATACAAGGCATGATCATATCACATGACGTGTATTGTATATGACAACTTGATATAGCATAATACAATATGGGACATAATAAACAGGATAAAGAACACAGAATATGGACTGTGTTCTATGTAACATATACTAATCAAAAGGTATACAATGTAAGCACACATGTTCTTGCGGTAAACAATAGGCATTAAATCTGTTGCATTATGCCAGGATGTGTTCGGTTAACCTTGACTATGTCATATTATCATTTTATGGCGTGGTATTGTACAGTATTGGAAAGTCTGGTAAAGTATGTGGTATTTTTGAGTAGACTAAAGCATAATAGAGAAAAACTAATTTAGGAAAGCAAAGGACAGTGTAGTACACCATAGTCTGTATTATGCCATAGAAGATAATAGATGATGTCATATCTTGCTATATTGTGTTGTAGTATGTTCTAAAGACCTGTATTGCCGTATAGGCTACACTATATAACTTCATACTACCGTGTAGTAGTTTGTCAGTTATGTCATCTTATGTACCTCAATCAGTTTCGAAACACAATATAGCAAGATGACATAGGATGAACCATTCTGAAACATAATACGGCACACTATAGTATAAGACATGCTTTCACGCATTATGACTGTCATATCATATAAAGCTCAAAGTTTGGCCTATTATGATACAACACAATATAGCACGGCAAAGCACACTGGAACCTGAGTATAGACTAAGGTTGACTGCAATTTGCAAGCTTGCCATCAACTTCGAGCTGCCTGGGCCCTAAATCCGATAGAAGCTGGGTTGAGGAGTAGGGGCTTTCGGGGTTTTAGGGGTTCAGGGGTTTTTGGGGCTTGGGTTTAGCGGCTTGGGGTCTGATTTTGGGATTTCCGATGGGGTTCAGGGGTTTAGGGTTTGGGGTTTAGGGGTTAGGGTTTGGGGTTTAGGGGTTTAGGGGTTTAGGGGTTGAGGGTCTGGGGGTAGTTGGGTGTTTATGGTTGAATGCCTGGCGGCTCAGGCTTGGTTTTGACATCTATCCATGGCTGTCCAGGCGAGTGATAGGCCCGTAGCCCTAGGACCCTAAATCCCCACGGCAAAAGCCTGAAGGATTTGTAACCCTAATCACCCTACTAACCCTACTAACCCTTAAAACCCTACTAACCCTAATCACCCTAACGACACTAACAACTGAGGTGGCAAAACTCGCCAAGTCAAGTGCCGACTCCTTCCGCAGCTCTTCGGGCTGATGCCACGCAGGATCCCTGAGTTGCACTTAGGGCTTAGGATTCAGGAGTTTAGGGTTTAGGGGTTTAGGGGTTTAGGGGTTTAGGGTTTAGGGTTCCAGAGACTTCCAAAGGAACTTGGAGGTTCGTGGGGTAGTTATAAGTGGGGGTATAAGTCCCCTAATATGGGTTCTAAGTATTAGTTACCCTACTTATTGACCCCACTAACAACTACCCATGATCCTCCAAGAAGAGCTCACTTGCAGGTTTCGGGTTTCGGGATCTCTTCATGTAGGGCTGTCAGTAGGGTAAGCACAGCTACAACCTACTACTTATGAGTTGAGCCCACGGCGGTGTTGATGATGATGATGGTGATGATGATGACGCACCTGCTGCTGCTGGTGATGGTGATGATGATGGAGCTGGTGATGATATGTGTTGTGATGATGATGTTTCAGTCTAGCCTCGTTATGGTGAATCAATCGCCCTTAGACACATTCAGAACATCATGACGATGTATGATGACGCCTTCCTTACTGCTGCTGCTATTGTTGCTGCTGGTGATAAAAACGAGCATCCTGATTCGCTCGAAGTTATCGTCAGAAGCAAATGAATCCGTTCCTTGCCATGCCAATTGACCAAAGGGCACTGGCTTCTCAGGCCCAGCAGAGCTACGAGGCACTCAAGTGCACTGTCGTCAGCATGCCGAACTCTCCACAGGCTGCGGTGACGGGCAGGTTGCATCATGAGATGATGACATGCCACGATCCATGGGTTTCTGTCAGGCTTCAGCGTGCGAAGGAGCGCCCAGTGTACCCGAGGGCACTGCCAATGCCGCTGGGTGCATGGCAGCCGACGGCCATGCCGGCGACAGTGCGCAGTCCGCACAGGGTGCATGCATGCCGGCGAACGCTACCTTTGCCTGCAATGGCTGTGGAGGAGGTTGCACCTGTGCAGGATGCCCATGCGGTGGATGTGACGGATGCGGCTGCGGCGGCTGTGGCGGCTGCGGTGGCTGCGGCTGCGGCGGCTGCTGTGGAGGTTGCTGTGGAGGCTGCGGTTGCCGGGGGTGCGAGGCCTGTGATGGATGTGGCTGTGGCTGTGGCTGCGGCAATTGTGGCTGTGGCAACTGTGGCGCCTGCAACTGTGGATGTTCAGGATGTGGGGGTTGCGGCGGTTGTGGCTGCGGAGGATGCGGTTGCGGCTGCGGAGGCTGCGGAGGCTGTGGCTGCGGTGGTTGTGGTGGCTGCGGTTGTGGAGGCTGCGGCTGCGGCTGTGGAGGCTGCGGCTATGGGTGCTGCGACGGTGGCTGTGGCTGCAGAGGATGCGGTTGTGGTGGTTGCCCCGGTTGTGGTGGCTGCGGCTGTGGCGGCTGCTGCAGCGGTTGCTGTGGTGGCTGTGGCTGTGGGGGCTGTTGCGGAGGCTGCTGCGGCTGTGGGGGCTGTGGTTGTGGGGGATGTGGTGCTTGTGGGGGATGTGGTGGATGTGGTGGATGCGGCGGATGTGGTGGATGTGGTTGTGGCTGCTGTGGAGGCTGCTGCCCGAATAACATGGGCTGCGGATGCGCATGTGGCATGCCAAACATGGGCATGGCGGGCATGAGCCGGATTCTTGGTCGGTTTGTCAATTTCATGCCCCTGCACAGTGCCCATGAGCTGTGCAATGTCAGGAAGGCATCATGATGTCTGGATGCGAGCTCTTGCATGACAGCTTGACGTTCGGAGCACAACATCACAAATCCTGAAGTCATTGAGGTGCGGGTGGCTATGGCAAAGCTGGTGGAAGGCCTGGAGTGCAGTTTGAAGCGCCGAGATGTATTCTGCAGGTTTGTTCAGTCCTCCGGCCTTGGGAATATCGCAGTTTACCTGTTCGGGCTGATCTTTGCCTGTTCCCCTGTTGTTGGTGGCAACCCGTCCCAATCCATCGCAGCGACGAGCCATCGTGCAACCTCTTCGTGACCGGCTCAGTGCCGAAGAAGCACCCCTTCCTCGCTCCGTTGTGTCCTTGCAGAGCCGAGCCCGAGATTGCTCCGGAGGCCAATGGAGATCGATGAGGGTCAGCTCCAGCGACAACACTTGCAGCTGCTACGTTTACTGCCGCAGGTCGTCGCAGTCATCGTTGTTGCACTGTTGTAGACTTGGGGCTGCCACGACGACGGCACGATGAAGCGACGACGACGACCAGCGTCTACTATCTTTGCAGCTGCTCCTGTCCACTCCAGGCGCCGGTTGGCGATGTGAACTTCGAAGACGATGAGGAGCAGGCAGGATTCTAGCAACTACATCGTGAGCCCAGATTCTTGAGCCTGGGCTTGGCCGAGGAAGAAGCGAACGTTTGTCGTCATGAGTCATG